GCACATATTCCGTCGCACATCATCAACCTTCCTGTCATTCAGTTCTCCACCGAAGAAGTTCTACGAGCCATCGATGACCTTGACATCAAAAAAGGATCCGGAACAGACGGTTTACCACCTCTGCTGCTGAAAAACTGTTCTGAAGAACTGGCGAATCCAATTGCTCACTTATTCAATCAATCGCTTCGTGAAAGGACCTTTCCAGCGGCTTGGAAATCTGCTTACGTTGTTCCTATACACAAGTCAGGCAACTGTAACCAGGTGACAAACTATCGCGGAGTATCTATTCTTTGTTGTCTCAGTAAAATATTTGAAAAACTGGTGCACAATGTTTTATACAACGTAGCGTCTCCGATTATCTTCGAAGGTCAGCATGGCTTCATGAAGCATCGCTCTACAACAACGAACCTCATGTGTTGCGTCACCACAGTGTCCCGCGAAGTAGAAGAGAGGCGGCAAGTTGACGCGGTGTATGTTGACTTCGCGAAAGCCTTTGATACCGTACCGCACATTCAGCTCATTGAGAAACTGAGGCACATAGGTTTTCCAGATTGGATTACGGAGTGGATTTCTTCGTACTTATGTGATCGTACCGCATATGTCGTGATCAACTCGGCTCGTTCCCGCTCTTTCAACATCACGTCTGGTGTACCCCAAGGAAGCGTTTTGGGACCACTATTATTCAACATTTTCATCAATGATCTGTGTTTGCGGCTTTCCTCGTTCAAGCTCTCATTCGCTGATGACCTTAAATTCTATCGTGTCATAGCTTCTCTCTTGGACTGCTTTGCTCTGCAAGAGGATATCAACACTATGATGATATGGTGTAGCGATAACGGCATGCGAGTTAACAACAAGAAATGCAAAATTATTTCCTTCAGTCGCTGCAATAGCCCCATTCTGCATCAATACAGGATGGAAACGGCGGAATTAGAACGAGTTTCGTCCATCTGCGACCTCGGTGTTACCATCGATACGAAACTAAGGTTCAACGAACACGTGGGAATTATGACTGCCAAAGCTTTTTCTGTGCTGGGATTCATCCGTCGCCATGCGTCCGAGTTCACCGACATTTACGCGTTAAAAACTCTCTACTGTTCGTTGGTTCGTAGCATTCTGGAGTACGCTGCTCCAGTTTGGGCCCCTTACTATGTAGTTCATGTTCTTACCATTGAACGGGTACAGAAAAGGTCCGTACGTTTTGCATTGAGACAGCTTCCCTGGAACGATCCGTCTAATCTTCCTCCCTATTCTGACCGATGTAAGCTCATAGGATTGGAGCCACTATCTACCAGACGAGTTACGATGCAGCGATTATTTATTTTTGATGTCATCGGAGGATTTATTGATTGTCCTGAACTTCTCGCACAGATCCCACTAAACATTCCTCCCCGACGGTTTCGGAACTCACCTTTATTAGCAGTTCCATACCACAGAACAAACTACGGATACAACAACCCGTTCGATTCGTGCCTTCGCTCGTTCAATGTTGTTTGTGACGAATTTGATTTTAATTTGACCAAAAATGTTTTTAGAAATAGGATTAGAAGCAATCTTTAGTTTATAAGAAAATAGTTCAGTCTGTACGACTAGTCGAAGACGGTGATATATAAAATAAAATAAAAACAAAGCTGTTCCTTATAGTAAGGCCTTCATTTTTATGACAATGAATTCTAGGGTGGTTCCTATTATCATTTAAATGAAAAATCTAGCTTTTTTGTTTGAATAAATTAAGGTATACATTTTTGGGAAAAGTTATAGCTGAGCTAATTTCAAACATCTTTGTTGAAAATAACTTTTTTGTATCTCTTAAATTGGCCGCTAAAGAGCTATTTTCTTGGATTAAGTTAGGGTGGCTCTTAAAAAAACAGTTGTTTTGCTCTAGTTTTCTTATTTTGAATTTCTCAGCAAAGGTGTCTAGATCTTAAGAAGGCGTAAATTTTTGCTGCATAAAGCTTGTCAATATCTTTCGCCGATCAAGAGTTATTGACGTTTTTATACTAAAAATATGCACTTTTCAAATGTTAATATCTCTGGTTGGGGCAAAAAAAATATTTTACGGTATTTGAAACGGCGTATGTTATTCTCAATAATATTAAAAAAATTAGAGGTATATTATTTTTTAAACTCGAATAAAATCAATTTGAATTGATTCATATTTTTTACTATATTTGGGTATATTTTTTTTATTAGAAGATATACAGGCAACAAATCAAGCTATACAAAATTTGTCTTAAAGAGTTTTAAAAGTCTCTAGAAGATGACTTTCATGGTAAATTTCAAATAAAAAATTAACAATAAACAATTAACATTTGAAAAGTGCATATTTTTAGTATGAAAACGTCAATAACTCTTGATCGTCGAAAGATATTGACAAGTTTTGTGCAGCAAAAATTTGCGCCTTCTAAAGATCTAAAAGTAATTTAAAGACTCCCTTGCTGAGAAATCCGAAATAAAAAAATAACTAGAGCAAAATAACTGTTTTTTGAAGAGCCACCCTAACTCAATTCAAGAAAATAGCTCTAAATCGGCCAAATTAAGAGATACAAAAAAAAAATATTTCCAACAAAGTTGCTTGAAAATAGCACAGCTATAACTTTCCCCAAGAATGTATACCTTAATTGATTCAAACAAAAAGGTAGATTTATGATTTTATTGATAATAGGAACCACCCTAGAATTCATTGTCATAAAAATGAGGGCCTAACTATAAGGAACAACTTTGTAGAAGAGACTTTTAGTCTAAGGTTTCAATTTCAGGCTCAAAACATATCATTCCACCTAAATCTGCATTCTGGACCACTGTGCATTGGCAGCACTACATTAATAATGCTCCTCGTTGAGTCAGAGACATTGAATATACTGAAGAAGCTATCCACAATACCAGAAAACGTGAACATGGGGGCATGTTCTTGCTGATTATTCAGCTGCTTTTCTGGCCGAAAAACTGGGACATTTGGGGTTTTAGATGCTCCTGGAAGTGACGGAATGCTCTTGTCATAATTACAAGGTTGAAAACCCGGTGGAATGGGCTTCGGTGTATTTCCGTTACCTCTTGATTTTTCCAAGGTGGAAGGGTGGTCCGTACGAGTGGCCTTACGATGCTTTTCGGTGGTGTGTTTTTTTGCTCGTTTTCTCGTATTGCCTTTAAAGACTAACGGACTACCCTCACCGACCTCTGAGTCAAATCTAGATCATCAACTGGCAAAATGGAGAACGTGTTACTGCTTTTTGGTGTGGTCTGAGAAGATGAAGCGGTATTCTTCAAGAGTTCTGCTAGTGTTCTCTTGGAGCGAGCTTGCAGAGACCGCTTAAGTTTTTCTTCCTGCTGTTTATACCTCGGGCAGTCAGTCAGGGTATGTAGGCTTTCCTTGCAGTACACGCATTTTGGAGGAGCACAGCAAGGGCCCTCTTGATGTTGCTCGCCACACTGATCGCAGCGTGGTTTGTTCGAGCAGTAGTCCGATGTATGACCAAGTTGTTTACATTTCGAGCAGTTCATTACCCGAGGTACAAACAGACGTACAGGCAGCCGAACCTTGCCAATAGCGACGTAGTGAGGTAACGCTGAACCCGAAAAGGTCACACGAAACGAGTTTGACAAGGAATAAGTTTTTTTGGAGCCTACTACGGATACTGACTGCATTTGAAGGCAGTCCAATATCTTCACCTTCGGCAGAGCACGGTTTTAAAGATTCCGAAAGAATCGGGATCCAAGAAATCATCATTAGTCAAACTCGCTTCGGCGACCACTCCTTCAATTTCTACCTCACTACTGGGTATGTAGACTCGGTATTCCAATGAAGAAAGCTCGCACGCAACAATTTGGTTAGGCTGCTTCCGGTCATCAACGGTAACGCGCAGTTTTATTGGTGTCACCTTGAAAATATCGGTAACGGCCGAAAAGTGTGTTGTTAGATCCTTTGAGATCCTCGGAATGTTCAAAGGTTTTTGTTTGGGCCGGAAAAAAACAACCCATGGGCCTTTCGAGGCTTCTGGGTAAGCCTTTAGGCGGGGGAGCGCAGAGGTTTTCGGTGGCAATGGTGTGGGGGGTGCAGGTGGACGAGGAGGAGATGATGGGGAAGAGGGTTGTGGGCGATACCTTTTCTTGGGATATGCTCCAGTATTTTTGCATTGGTTTAGGAAATGACCTTTGTAGCGGTACAGACACATTTGTAAAAGATAAATTGCATCCGAGTACAATAATTACGGAAAAAAAAGTGCCGAGTTTATTTTCTATATTTTCCGGATAGAAAAAAATGTGTAAAAGGATAGACTCCGTTTATTTCTATTCATTGTAAAGGTATATCCAGATGATTATATTATCCACATAAATCCGGATATTGAAGCCTGCTCAGGGAGCGGGTTTTGCAATACAACCCTTTCCTCAATTTTTTTGATTACTTCTATGTGTATTATTTTTTCTGCATATATTTTTTTTAATTAAATAAAAGCAGATTAAAAATATTCCATGGAATATTATAAAAATTCCATTTTATTCCACAAAATTACATTTCGCTTTCATGTTGCATGTCTTCGCAAATTTCGTTTCGTGCATTTCGCGAAATAAAATAGATCAATAAATTTCCGTTTCATTTCGTATCGACCATCAAAAACCTCACATCGCATACCCTTAGCCTGAACAAGGTATTCGGCTAGTTCGTCTCTTGACATAATATCCTAGCAGCACACTTGTCACTGAACAATCATTTCATTCCAGTCACAATCAAGTTGCAGCAACTTTTTTCGATGTAAGTGTGCTGCTTGGGTACATTCTTGACTGAACTTCAAAATATTACGATCGATGTACAAAAATCATTAACTGCCTACACCGTTTGAAAAATTCATGTGAATTTCTGCAATATTTAGCGAACATGTTGTTAACGCTCGAATTGGTGATTTTCATGTAAATTTACCCGATTGATAAAATGTATATTTTTTTTTCTGTGTTCAACATTATTCATTAAAAACATTCCACTTTTCCCCTTTCCCACCACTCAGGTGCGTGACCAACTGGAGGCCCAGGGCATGCTGCCGATCGATCAATCGATCCCACCGGAGGACATTCTCGGGAGGTCCTACTGCCGCTATTCGGAGCCACGGACGTGACGCAAACGGAGCCTGTCTGTAAGCTACAGTACGATATTCCCGTGAACCAATCTCACTGCGAGTCATCGATCCGTTTTCATCGATCGGATCAGAAGCACAATAAACAAAAAGGAAACAAACAGCAACAACACAAATAATTAACAAAAATCAAACAAGCACCCACTTTGTACACACAACCTAGCAGTAGGTTAAGTATTATAAATTCACCGATCAATTCCAATCCCTGGCAGAAAACAGGGAAAAACAACTCACACCTGCTCAGAGCGTAGTCTTTAACCGAGTAAGAAAAAACAACAACAAAAGCCAACAATCAAACAAAACATACACACAAACACACTCACTAAATAAAACGACGATGATTTTAAGACAAACCCAAAAGAGTTCGCATATCATAATGGAAAGACAAACAAGAGACGAGGGAAGCAAACGAGAAATGCAACTGTCATCACATCCGACTATTTCCAAGAAAACCAAATTTTCGTATATTTTTCTAATGTAAAAAATAGTGCAAAAACCGAACAGAAGGCGAAATCATCATCCAGTAAGTGAATAAATTCATTAGCTATTTAGGAACCGAAAGTAAGCGAAGATTATGCGAATCCCGAATGTTGACAGATGGAAATAAATTCTAAATGACATAAATTTTAGGCTAATTGTGTAAAAAAAACAAGAAGGTGAACGAAACCAATTAAATTTAATCAAACAATAAATGTGTAGAAATTATTGACATGTTACAAAGAACAAAACAAACAAAAAATACACGAGCAAGGAGAATCAATTTTGTTACCACAAGTGAGGAGTTTGATTGACAATGGAACGATCTCATTTTCATACTGTTTTGGCATCTTAGAACATAAACTAATTGAATCAATAAAACGACAGTGGAAAAAAGAATCAACAACATAAAAAAAATAGCAATCGGTCGCAATCTCACAGTTTCCCCCCGGCAGGCTGACTGGCTGGTAGGTTTTAGGAGGTGATAAAATTTGCAGCAATAAATCGTAGCTACGGGCGCACAATAAATCATAAATCATAAATGTTCGATGCCGCGAAGGCCTACGTGAATAATAAAAGAAAGCATCGTCGTCGTCGTCGTCGTCGGCGTGGGAACAACAACAGTTACAAGCTAATTAAAATAACGCCCTCGATGGGATGCGAGTTTGTGTGGAGTGTTTCGGAAGTGTGAGCATAAAAAATTTTCACGTTTAAAATGGTGCCTTTGCCCGGTTGCTTTCGCAGTAATTGCGACGAGGAAAATGCGATTAAAAACGCTGTTAGAGGAGAATCGTGGGCGGCCATTTCGGCTGTGGTTGTAAATATTTACATGCTAAATTGAAGGGAAACAGTCAGCGTTTCGTAAGGTCAAATTGCGCTGTAAATTAATTCTGGGTAATTAATGGCTGTTGAACCGTTACCACGACGCGTGGCGGCAGTTAACCTTCTAAAAGGAGTTTTTTTTGTTGGAAGCTATTTCACTTCAAAATTGGGTGAAGTTGAAAATCAGTGCCGGAGGCTTTTTCTGATAGACGGATGCCATTTTCATGCTATTATTCGAAATTTAAAAAAAGGTTAAATTATCGTTGTCGGTCAAATTTGCACTATTCTAAGCATGACATAATGCGGTTCAATTAAAGCTTTGCAAGGATCTCTGCTTTTCAGTCTAACGGCGGATTGGAATAGATCAATGTTTTGTCTCCGACGTTTCGCTCATTGGACTGGGCCTTCTTCAGGAGATGTATAGTTTTGTTTTCTTTGATTTGCTTTCCGTCGATCTTGATTTCCGTACTGAGTACCAATGCTACCGACGCCAGGAAAACAGCTACCCACCCTACCTATCGACCCATCAACTCATGAAACGGGGACCAACGGCTTTACTTCCCCCTTCCGAAGGAAGGTGTGATCAGAGATTTTATGCCTCAGAAAATCCCAGCGGTGCCGACTGGGATTGAACCCAGGCCTTTTGAGATGAGAGGTAATCACGCTTACCACTACAACCCCGGCGCCGCTGAAGGGTGTCATAGTTATCGGGATCTCTTCCACGATACCACATCGCAGGTACAGATGCGTTGGTTGGTAAATCCATGAATCTGCGGTGTGTAGCCACAGCCCGTGTGATTCGTCTCTAAAAACGTGTGGCTTAAGCGCCACTCCACAAGGGAGACCACATGCTCAATGTAAATTTGCCTGGTTGAGACTCTTCTAAGGGCAAGTTCATTAATATTCCTAGAAAGTTATTACGGATTACGTCCAAACGGGAACTTGCCACTAGACGTCGCCCCGATCTGGAAGTGGACTACTCTTCGCAACATTCAAACTCTCAAAATGAGGACGGGACACGAAAACTACAACAGAGAACGCGAAGCGGTGTCAAACAGGGGTTGAAACTGTTGACGTTTTTACTACAGTCGTTTCGTTGTCGTGGGCGACAGTCAGTTTGTATTCGTACTCTCATTCTCTACCGTCGTCTCTCTTACACAAGACAAACGGTAGAACAAAATTCGAGCAAATAGAAAATTATCAAATAACTATCATATGACATGTGTGATTTCGTTATAATTCCTCAATTTGGGGTAAATTAATTTAGGACATCCTTGCTTGCTATTTTCAGAATTCACACAAGGGCGTGCCTTGAATTCCTAAAAATCATCGAGAGAAGTAATTGTTTACAAAAACTGTTACGCCTAATTCCAGCTCTATCAAGATATGTTTAAAGCTAACATACCACGTTCTTGAATGCAACATTGGGGGTGCAATTAAAAAAAACAAAGTCGGTCGCGGCATGAAAGTGGTCTAATTTTGGTTCAGAGATGATGGATTTTAATTCTTAATACGCCAATCGAAAGGATTTTTTCTAAGAATCTGTTAAAATTAAGACTTTATGATTTTTCGAAATGCCACTATTGAAAATTGCACGAAAGTGCAGTTGTTCCTATGATAAATTAAATTATCTCCGATTGCCTGCAAAAAGCGATTTCCCTAACACAGATTTCAAGGTTGAATTCCATCCGGTCTCACCAAACGGTGTTTATTCTAGATTTGGGCTTCAGAGAAAGATCGATCTTGACTGATCGATCTTATATTTGGCTCTAGAATCGATCCACTGATTACATCGGTACCAAAATATCGATCTTTGGTAGATCGATCTTATGGTTTTGACGTAGACTACGTCTTACGGGAAGGTACTGGAGGTAAATCGAAAATCTAAAATTGCGACCGTCACGAAAAGGTGTAATTTTTTGAACGCTATAAGCTTTGTCATTTATAGATGAAATTAAAATCTGAATACACCAATCGATAGGAAATACCTTTGAATACTAGCTGAATACTATTGCAGTCGAGCGTATGATGCTGTTCGCGAATCAGCTCATTTTTGCATCGCGTCCGTCCGAAAAAGAGCAAGAGCAAGAGTCAACGGTAAAGTAGCAGTGGACGGCGTGATCACCTTGATGGCAACCAGCGATGAAGTGGAGTGAGGGAGAAGAGGATGTAAAATATGTGAAGATCGAACCAATTGGTCCTTTTCAGGACCACAATTTTTTTACAAAAAGAGTTATTGGACTGTTTCCTTCTTGGGTCCCGTTATAATACGAAACGCGACAAATGTAATTTTTGTAAAACAAACCCCCCTCCTTAACTTACCTCTAAAGAAACATGAAACATAAATGAAAAGTCAATTTTTCACCCGCAAAAAGAGCCAAATAATCATATTCTGCACAAAATATATTTTCTGCTCCGCCCCATTCATAAAAAAAAACGGCGGGAAATCCTGTCAGGGGCGGGGTTTGGAAAGTATTTTTTGTGCAGAATATGTAAAAGGGGAGGGACTTCGGATGTTGATCTAAATGCATATATAGTGCAAAATAGAGAAATAACTCTATCTACTACTTGAAATTCACGCATTATATCTCAGAAGTGCATGCTTGATAACGAAAAACTTCTTGGAAGTAAAATAAGCAATTATTGAGAAATTGTGGAACAGCGAATCAGTGCTATGTCTCAACGTTTGAGTGCAAAATACGTGCGTAATTACCGGAAGCGCGTGAAGGATCTTCAGGCAGACGTTTCTCCGAAACGACCCAAGACCATTGCAGAGAGAGCTCGGTTATATCGGGCCAACAAAAACAGCAGTCAGATGTAATGCGTCACCATCTACTGGTTGGGACGCTAGAGAAGGTCCTTCAACTCAAGGTAGGAAATTCACATTAATTATTAACAACCTTTGAAACTGCATACGTTCGACACGTAACTATGATTCATACCAACAAAATATTTAACAAGTGGGATAACCAGTGTGCGAGCTTCTGCTCTGACTTTAAAATTTAATTACTGTTACATAGGTTACTTCTACTGTATTATAAATCAATATCTAGAAAAATGCACGAAAATTTCACTACACAGCTTAACGTAGTCTACGTCAACCCTGCGGTCGTGTCTTGTACACAACCCCACCATTTTTTTTTTAATTTTAATTAACCCTTCTGACGTTTATAACTTGCACACTTGCGCAATCCCATTTTCAAGTGCTTAGTTTGCTATCCTCACTTTTGGACCATCAATACTCTTGCATATAGAATGGACTAAAGAGGCTGAATTTATAACGAGACAACATGGCAAAATTGTCAAACTTATAGGAAAAGTTATTCCAATCGAACAGAATGCCTGTAAAATTAATAGGATGTCGCCTCTTTACCCAATTCAGTCTCTTTCGAATGGCCTTAACTTTTGTTTACGTTGATACACCAAGAAATTCTTTCCTTTAAAATATTTAAATAAATGTTGTCGTGACGGTAAGGTGCAATGAGCTCAGGAGGGAGGTAGAGATAACCTTCAAATGTTGCTGTGTTCGGAAATATCGGAAACGTAACTAGTTACGTGATTGTAGGGAGCGATGCTGACGTCTGAGGTGAGAGTAAGTTGTTTTTTTTTCGATGTAAATACAATTACAAAATTGATTACCCATTTTTTTTTAAAGATCGAAGAGATCGATGAAGAGATCGATTTTTTCGATCTTTTCATGGACAAAGAATCAATCAAAAAATCGGAAATCGCGATGCAGAAGATCGATCTTCCAAGATCGCCCAATCCTAGTTTATTCAATCCCCGCATGGTGAGTGGTGGTGTTTCAGTACACAACGAAAGGCTGCCTGTAAGCAGCGTACTGCAGCCAACATGAGCATCATGGGCATCCACAGAAGAAGGGAGAAGCCGCACCGCTATTGATCAAAATCAGTAGCTCTTCGTGTGTCGCTGTGGGCCATTTATGTCAAGCGCGTCATACTAATGGTAATGAGTATAAACCGAGGGCTGTCCCTTGTAGTTTTTTGTCATGGACTATTCAGACGGAATATTTAGTTAATAAACGGGTGCTCCAAAATCATTTACCCTACGTACATGTATTAACATGTTCTTTTTATCGATTATTTGTGTGTGATCGTTCCTCTCTCCTATGTGTGTGCGATTTCTATCTCTCTCTAACTAAAGTGCTGCTGTGCTCTTAAGTGTTCATGTGTGACGTCACTGTATCGGCAACTCAGCTCCAAACGAGTTTGCGCTTCTGATTACAACGAGGTTGACGTCGAAAAACGTTAAGCGCGCATATTTCAAAGGCACAGCACGAGTTCCGGAAAAGCGTGTCACGCTATTCGCTCATCAGTCTTAAGACTGGCAAAAAATCACTCCGTGGCGCCCTCGCCAAACGCCATACTCCAAAGTAAAAAGGCTTGACTCATCAGATGGCTTATTTAACGGCGCCGGTGGTGTAGTGGTAAGCGTGATTACCTCTCACCCCAGCAAGCCTGGGTTCAATCCCAGTCGGCGCCGCCGGGATGTTCTGAGGCATAACATCTCTGATCACGCCTTCCTTCGGATGGGAAGTAAAGCCGTTGGTCCCCGGTTCATGAGTTGATGGGTCGATAGGTAGGGTCTAGGTGTGGGAGCTGCCTTCCTGGCACGTCGGTAGCATTGGTGCTCAGC